TTCATTATGTAATAGTGATGGTAAATGTTAAATATATTGTTATTAACCATCTTTTTTAATTAAAATAAATAAGCAGTGTATTCGTCTTTTAAATTAAATATATATTTATTATGGAATTGACATGATCTTAAGACTCAAAGTTATTATGCGTATTTTTCTGCCCTTTTCAAATCCAGTTGCACTTTTTACGCACATGAATCAATTTTACCCTAGCTTATTCCTACTATCGATAGTTTAACATTTTCATCGGGTTCGACGATTGCCTAGCAACGTAGCATTATCAACGGCCTTTTTAAATCCATTATTGGACATAGGCATTTCAAAGAATACGCCATCTGACAAGCATTACTTGAAAGATTTACATAATCATCTCGCTACGCAGGCAGGTTTTTGAGCGGACGCTCAATCTGGAAATACTTCTCCCCATCGCCAGACGGTGACATTTTCGTTCACCGTTTTTGAATGGATTTTCCCTTTCAGTAGGTCGCCAGAACCACCTCTGACGTTGGCCATTCAGAGAAAACTGTGGCATATTCTCCCTTACAAACCCATAAAGATTCATATAAATGACCATTATTGATATTTGGTAATTTGATCAGTATAATTTTTTTTAAATATTTATCTAGTGTATCTATTAACTATCTAGTGACAAACATGGTTTGTCCACTTTTTCATGCTTTATAAATACGACTGTAATTTGTACAAGAATTTTCAAACATTTAGGAGTATTATTACGTGGTAGAGCCACGCTGCAGTTATATTATGGTTGTAGCATGAATGGGTCGGCTCGACCGGGGAAGGACCACGCTCTCACAGAAAACCGGCGTAAAATAACAGCTTAATGCTGCTGTGTTTCGTATGGTGAGTGTAGAGAACCGGAGACCCGTTTTACTGAGATCGAGGCATTCCATCTTAGTCCTCAGGGGTGACAACGCATCTGCATTTTGATTCCTGATCGAATATAGAAGTCTATGGGCCACAGCATCCACTTACCATCAGGTGGACTGTGTGCTCGTTTGTCACCCTTATCCTATTTAAAAAAAATTGGAGTATTCGGCTTGTTGCAATTGTACTTCTTAATACTTCGTTGAATATTAACATAAGTGGACGTCGATGTTATTATAAATATTTACATTATGGATCCATTGCAACCCTTAAAAGTCCACTGCTGAACGTAGGCCTCCTTCATAGACATTGCCATAGTTGCCACGCTTGGCAAGCATCTTAGCAACCGCAATTTTTTTATTATTTAGTGTTGTTATCAGGGAAATGCTGCCCTTTTACTGTTTCATTTTATCTCTTTCGCCTCTTACCACAGCCTCGACACTCTTACATATAGTGAACACCGCTCTGTTTTTATATATTCATCAATTGTGAGCCGATTTTGATAGTTCTCCTTTTCTTCAGGGTGGTCCTACATAAATTTGGGGAAAATATTTGACCCTTATAGGTGGCAAAATGGATAGAACTTTTAATGTAAATATTTTAACGACATTGAGATTATAACATTCCACATTACACCCAAACTGTTTAAGAATATAACTTTGTAATAAATATCAAAAACCGAGGTAAAATAACTTAAAAAGATTAAAATATTTTCAAATTCTAAAGTCAGTTCTTTAATTTTTCAATGCACTAGGTCTTAACAGTTTCCCTGTTCGCGAAATAGACACATTTTTTCATGGGACAGAGAAAGGGTTGCCATTACAGGTTGTTAAAGTCCTATACTGAACATAGACCCCCCTGCCATATATTGCCTCATTAGGGGGATATTTGCCATAATAACCACGCTTGGCAAGCGGATTGGCAACCGCAGTTTTTTTATTGTAAGTATTTTTTAGGAAGACGCTGCTGCCCATCTCCTGATTTGTTTCATCCTGCCGCCACTCACAGAATAATATGGGGGTAGTGGATATGCTTATAACACCACTACATGGATAGAGAAAGGGTTAAAAAACCTTTATTAGTAAAAATAGTTCAAATAAATTTAAAGGATAAAATAATATAATGACAAAAATTAATTTTACTAAAAGTATAGACCACCACGCTGCCCCAATGCGTGTTGGCGGACTTCACATGTCTTTGAAATATGTATTTTCTTTTATTTCTCAGACATACAGGTTTCCTCACGATGTTTTCTTTCACCGCAGAGCACGTGGTAAATCAGCGCTTAAATTTGCAATTAAAATCTTCAGTAGTACTGGCGGGGATCGAATCCGGGTTCCTCGCACTGAGAGATTTGCAGCAAACGCTAATCCACTGAGTTACCACGTGATGATGATGATGACAAATTATAAATCACACCTATTCCTACCAAGTCTAGACTTATGTGTAATTTATGATTGGTTTCGAACAGAATATTTTTTTGCAATGGGAAATAAAAATAATACTTAATTTTACAGATTCGGAAACCAAAAAAAAACTCTATCCCGGAAAGATTCAACAAGAAGTCTAGCGGAACATGATTTTTTCAAAGTAATATTTTACATTTAAATACACATATGGCTCTACGTTCCAAATATAACTTTTTAAAATGATGATGATGATGTTCTATCCTACTGTCTATATATTTGCAGCCAAAACTAACTCGACGTGTTTTGAGATGAATGTGTTTCCATTATGATTTTTACAGTGTCCACACTTTATTCTCAAGTGGTTCACGAGACTTCTTATTGGGGAAGAAGTTCAAAACACGATGGCGCTCAAACCAAAAGTGCATCGTGTCCTGCATTAATTTTTGATCCTTAGTGCAAAATGTGATTAATATTAGGTACGTGTAATCCTGTATTATTTCCGCAATGAAAGTGATGTTTGAAAATAATGCGATTTTCCCATTTTTTTTTATGGGCGTAGCCAGAGTTAGATCAAAGAAAAATAAATCAAATAAAAACTCTTTTTATACATAATAATGGTTACAAAATTCAAGATTTATTTCCATACAAGATATTTTAATTAGAAAAAGGACCTAACGGAAATAAATCGAATATGACTCTCTTTTTGGCTCTTGTTTTCGCAGGCCGAATTTAATTTATTTTTTACCAAAATCATGTTTTGACAGATAATATTCTCAGAACGTGAGTTCTAGGGTACAAGATACTGGGGTAATGCGTCTTTTAAGAATAGAAATCAAACGAATCCACTACCCCATACTATTTTTTTTTAGAAGAAAGGTGAAAAACGGGCACACAATGTACCTGATGGTAAGTGGATGCTGTGGCCCATAAATATCTACATCTATCCTCGATTAAGAATCAAAATGCAGATGCGTTGCCATCCCTGAAGACTAAGATGGAATACCTCGTTTCCAGTTAAAAGAGTCTCCGGTTACACTTATCATACGAAACACAGCAGCATTGAGTTGCTAATTCATGCTGGTATTCTGTGAGAGCGTGGTCCTTCCCCGGACTGACCCATTCGTGCTACAATTCTAATATAGCTGCAGCATGTCTCTACCACGTTTAGGTTTAGATCCCGTGGGTTTCATATGAGGCGACAGAAGGAAACGAACAGGAGGGGCAACTGCATCTACCTGATAACAATTCAACGAAATTTGCGGTTGCGAATCTGTCTGCCAAACGTGGCGACGATGGCAAATATCTCTATTGAAAACCTTATGTTGCAAACTATGAGAAGGGTTCAGCATTAGATAAACTTTGATGAATGGAACCAATTAAACAATCTTAAGTTATTTGAACACTCAATAACCCATAAAATAATTTACAGGGCGTAAGCACGAAAACAATATTTTATTTTCCTGTAACACAGGTTGATGGTTATTAACTAACGGTTCATGATGTATGTCTTCGGTGAATGATTGATAAAGTTTGTGTTTGTGACGGCTAGTTGCGAGAATCAAGTAATGATTCACAGGTTCATTTGTAAATTATCTATATAATCGTAAAATAGATGTTGTTTGTATGTTGGTATTTTTTTCGTTCATTAGCAATATAATGAGGCCCTGATAAAACAAGTAGTTTGTTTAAATTACGAGTCAGTTAAATTTATTTCATTACATTAACCACAATTTTTTGACATTTTATATACATTTTTATGGAAGTGGGGAGTGATATAATTTTTAACACCAAAAATTCATTGCATTATTTTAATATATTCTTTCTTTATTTAGTAATTTTAAAGAAATAATATAGTTATGAGTAAATATATCGAATACGTGTGTACTTATTTGATAGATTTACTAATGGTAAGCCATACTTAAAATAAGTAACAGAAATTATAAATTGCGTAGTAATTTATATATAATAAATGGAATATTTAAATTCTTTGATATCTTTAACTGGTTTATATTCGCGTTATCTCCAACATATCTTCCCCATTCACATAATATTACACATAATAATATTGAATGCGCTGAGATCGTAATAAATTCAAAATTTAATGAGTAAGGGAATGATAACTATATGCATCTTTTTCTATGTTTTATGTTATTAAATTTTTATCATGTCCCGTATGTGATTTTTTCATTTTACTTGTTGCATCATAGTTTCAAACCAGGTAAATAATCATGCAATGAGATCATTATACCAGCACATACACCAATAACATCAATACATAAAAAGTTTAGATTGCTTAACCTCAAATTTGTGAAGTTATGTCAAGTGAAATACCTACTTACATGCCTACTTGTACACATAAATATCTACGTGTACCAACAGTTTCAACTTGTTTCGATCATACCATGTAACTTTCTAATAATTTATTAAACATATCAGTATGCATACTAAAACATGGATCGATTTAAGCCACGAAAAGTTTTAATTATATAAATTAACATAATGCAAATAAAATAACTTAATAAAAACTTACCTTAAAAATCAACCCGTCTTTTCTCCAGTCATATAAATCGAAAATAATAACTTCACTCGTACACTGTCTAAAAAGCCCGTTAAGTAAGTAATATGAAAAATAGCACCTTCGGAAATGTAAACAATGCGCGGTATGAGAAAACTCGCAAACGATTAAGTTTTTTCGGGATCATTTATTTAATTTTCCCGGTCATCAAATAGAGTTTGTTCAGATTCGGTGAGCTGGTGAGCGATCGATCGTGTGGGCACGGGGAATGCCAACAGAGTTGTAGACGCGTGAAGAGCCGCGCAAGCTGGCGGCCGCGAGGCGACGCGTGCACTGAGTGGACTCAGTCCACTTCGGAGCCGCCGCGAGACTCTGCCCCGCGCGTGCGCCGCCGGACCAGTTCCCAACCTCTCACAACCTCGTGCCCTCACCATCCTCGCCAATCTGCATCAGCACCAATGCACTATTTCAACCTACACAGCACTTACGTCAGTAGACAATGTTTAACTTAAGCAACGCGCACTTTTCCGCTTTTCAATTTACAGATCCAAATTAAATCCTATACCTTTAAACGAGCAATTCTTGTATATATATATATAGAATTTATTTTAAGAAAATGTCTTTTTGTTCGTGTTTTCAGGCAATGAAAAACTGATAAGAAGGTAAATTTTGACACTGTGTAAATGATCATAATAGCTCAAGTGGATATCGAGCGGTCACGAAATCGTTATGCCTTGGTTCGCGTCCTGTCTTCGGTCAGATTTTTTCCTTTCTTTTCAAGTTCCCTTCTTTTGTGAGAAAATCTATTATTTCGAGCCCTTTTTTTTAGTATTTTTTAAAAATACGGAAATTTTAATTAAACTAATGGCACTAATGATCTTTTATTCAAATAACCAGTTCAGTTTTTTCTATTATGTCAATAAGATTAAAAAAATATTATTTGTGTTTCATCACTATGTAATTTGTATCTAAATGTAATTTCAAAATAAAATACCGAGCAAAGCTCGGTCATCCGGGTACTTATATTTACATATACTACTAAGTGTACAACTATATCCAAACAGCAAGCGTTTTAATAGAATTTTTTTACTGATTCTCTTATATTCCTCGTCCAAAGCTTAGTTAAACTAATATTAAGGAAGAAGGAGAAAGCCTTCTCGAAAAGCGGTAACTGTGTTTCTAAATACTCTCCGCGAATAACGCAACTGCTATAAAACCAATTACCAAATACACAAATTAGAACTCAGAGCAAACTCGCCAATAGAGTTAAAGCTCTTATATTCTAGAGAAAAAATATCAATGTAATGAATGTATTTGTATCTACAAATTACCTGTCGCAGCTCTAAAATATATAAATAGAATCTCCAAAATATTTTCACTCAATAAATGCTACAAGAGCAATTTTACCTAAGTAAAATATTCGTTAACTACATTTTTATCGTACAAAATAGATACAAACGAAATGCTCATTTTCGGAGTTCATTATTTAACAGTTCCAATACTTACTATACTGTGTCTTTGTCTCTTAATACTAATCCTTGGCGACATACTATCCATTTAACCTATTAAGGAATTAAGGACTTTCAATCAAAATCAGAAATAATTATGTCGCGTAAAATTACATAATACTTAAAACCAAAATTGCTTTCAACAAGATGGTTAGCACTTTTCATGATTTCTTTTCTTTGCGTGATATAAAGCTTAAACATTAAAACTTTATCAAAGAATCGATTGCAATGTCGGGTATATAAAAAAATCAACACTATGCACAAACATTGCTAAATAATGTTACAAAAATTTTGCCTTTAATTAAAATTTGAATCAGGACCGCCTACTCCGTTTATAGACAAAGTTCCGGCTAAGTTTGCACAAAAACACAACAGTCAGAGGACACAGACCACCCATTTTGTAAAGCAGTTTAAAATGATTTTAACACTGGCAAATAGTTCGTCTTTAGATAACGTACTGATAACGCTCAACAGTTAATTGACATTTCTCTCGAACAATAAATCACAAAATTATTTAAATTTGTGAGTCATATTTATATGTAGGTACTTTATATTTATGTGATTTATGTCACACTATAATCTCAAGAGCATTAATGGGTTGATTATATCCAGAAGCAGTCTTTAGTTATAGCCGGCGGTATTTCAGGGCTCCAAATTCTGGCGAACAGAGTAAATTTTTTTTTTTTTTTTATAGAATAGGGTGACATACGAGCACACAGTCCACCTGATGGTAAGTGGTTGCTGCAGCCCATAGACATCTACATCTATCCTCCATTAAAAATCAAAATGCAGATGCGTTGTCACCCGTGAGGACTGAGATGGAATGCCTCGTTTCCAGTAAAAAGGGTCTCCGGTTCTCTACACTCACCATACGAAATACAGCAGCATTAAGCTACTATTTCACGCTGGTATTCTGTGAGAGCGTGGTCCTTCCCCGGTCGAGCCGACCCATTCGTGCTACAACTATACTACTGATATAACTGCAGCATGGCTCTACCACGTAAAAAATATTGTAATAAGTGTAATATTGTTTGAGTTTACACCATGTCCTGACCATAAACACAAGATAAAGTTTTTGTATCAAAATCACTTAAAGAGTATATTTATTTTATTTCCGTTTTTAGACAATAATAACAAATAGAAAAGTGGACAAGACAACTTGAGAGAGATTAGAGAGAGTTCGCACTAATCAGGTCGTTCATTTAAAACCTTCAAATTAAATTAGGTCTCTGTAATAAAAAAAAGTTTTTAGAAGTAAGTTATAGGACTTTATATAAAACTTGAAGCACTTGGAGTGTGTGCGCTGCCAAAAGTTTCTCATATCCTTGGCAGACAGAATAACAATTGCCGACGTTTACATTTTATGGGCGAGCTCTTGGAGATGATAGTAATGTTCATATATATAAATAAAAGGAAATACGAACAAATAAAGGTAGAACTATAATATAATATAATAGTGGTAAAGCCACGCGGCAGCTTCGCTGTTGCACGTATGGGCCGGCTCAAACCGGGGTGGTACCACGACCTCACAGAATACCGGCATGAATTGGAAGCTCAGCTTCCGCTTTTCATCTGGTAAGTGTAGGTGGCTGGAGGCCAAATCCCCCCCCCCCCTAAAATAGTAGCGGAACTATGTGAAGATCTATCCCAAGAGGGTACCAGCACCCCTGGAGAATCCCTCGCTGAGCATCCACGGGGGGGAATTCCGCTCAAGACAGCAACTGCTCGGGGCAAGCTGAGCAACAAGACCAAGGCGACCCCTGCCACGCTATCCGTGAATTTCTACAATATCAAGGGATTTCATTCTAACCTGATGGTTGATGCTTCGTATCTCTCCTACCCAGGGTACAAACTGGAACACTCCTCGGGCTGGAGTTCGCATATACGTCAGAGAGGACATCTGTTCTCGACAATTAGGCAGTCTTGGAGGTTCGGACCTGTCCATCATTTGGCTACGCGTAGACAGCGACGACCACCCGCGCGTTTACGGGTGCCTCCATAGGTCCCATAGCGGTAATAATATAATATAATAGTGGTATCTATATAAACAAAATCATAGCTATATAAACAAACCGACTCTTCGACCACGTCCAAATGGATACAGATTCGAGTCGTCAGCTTTTACAAGTTGGGTGCCTGAGATGGGTTGTAATATCTTTAATGCATCATTTCAATGGGCAGCCCGAGCGTTATGTAAGGATGTCAGTGATGTTGGTCTGCTACTTTGTGTAAAATTAAAGTAGTTTTAAACATAACAAAATAAAGCCACACAGTATTCGGCTTTGTTCCTATTAATTGATACGAGCGTAAGTTATTATCTGAAGCTAGAGACACGGCTAACCCAGGCCGCAGCTCAGTATATAGTGCCCTGGAAAAGCAAATGGTGTCCGGAGAGTTGAGCTGCATTTTCTTTTGGAAAGTAAGTTCCGATTGAATCTTTTTAATATGTTTTCTTTTACTTGTTACAGTAGCAAGTGTGATGTAATTGCAGGCGTGCGAGTGTGAGACGAGTGTGCGCTTTATCTGGTCGAAACTGACTGCTGGGTTCAGCTGTAGCATGGCCTGATTTCAGCAGACGCGTGTGCTGCATGTGTGACAGGCACCGTCCAGGAGCGCGCGTATACTGTACATGGCGCTGCCCCTGAAGTCGTACCCTATGTGTACGCTGAAATCGTACACTATGTGTGCGCTGAAGTCGTACACTATGTGTGCGCTAAAGTCGTGCACTCTGTGTGTGCTGAAAGCGTATGATTTGTACGCGCGGAAGGCGTGTTCTCTGAACATGCATCAGACTCCTTCCTGGCAGGCACTGTCCTGGTTCACGTTTTTAACATGGTTCACGTGTTTAACGTAGTTCACGTGTTTAACGTGGTTCACGTGTTTAACGTGGTTCACGTGTTTAACGTGGTTCACGTGTTTAACGTGGTACCATGCAAGTTGTATGTGTGAATACTCGTGAAATCGAAGTGCTTTATAGTCTGCGTTATGAGAGCGTATTTCTGTTTGAGGGCCTCGTATGCGCGATGGATGAGAGAACAGGCAACGGTGTATGTTATCTTTATAACTAACAACTTGTGTTTCACGCATATATCTATCCGACCGAGACGACTTATGACTATTGCAATGTGATGCCATTTGCAATGTGTGACATTTTACACAGTTGCCTTTTAATTTCTGTAATATTTGATTGACCTCTCGGTCGAAGTTGGACTTACCTAGTCGGACTATTTGTCCCAGGTAAACATATTCGTCAACAACTTCGAGCATAGTGCTCCCAACAACTACCGGCATAGGTGTGACATGGACATTGAACATGATCTTTGTTTTGTCCATGTTCATCTTAAGACCTATCCGTTGGGAGGCACTATTGAGGTCATTGAGCATAGTGCTTAAGTCCTCCAGCGATTCTGCCATAAGGACTATATCGTCGGCAAATCGAAGGTGAGTGATGTACTCGCCATTGATGTCAATACCGTATCCTTTCCAGTCCAGTAGCTTGAAAACGTCTTCCAATGCAGCGGTGAAGAGTTTCGGGGATATAACGTCACCCTGTCTTACACCTCTCTGCAGTTGGATAGGTTTCGAGCTCTGGTTCTGTACTCGGATAGCCATCGTAGCCCTACTGTACAAACACTTCAGCACTTCGATATACCGACAGTCAACTTGGCACCGCTGAAGGGACTGTAGCACCGCCCAAATTTCGACGGAATCAAAGGCTTTCTCATAGTCTACATACGCCAGGCAAAGTGGCAGATTGTACTCTTCAGTCTTCTGTACAATCTGCCGCAGGGTATGTATGTGGTCTATGGTACTGAAGCCTTTTCGGAAACCGGCTTGTTCGGGAGGCTGGAAGTCGTCAAGTCTGCGTGCGAGACGATTCGTAATGACTCTCGAAAACAGCACGTAGACGCGGCTCAGAAGGGAAA